CTCTCTCTCTCTCTCTCTCTCTCTCTCTCTCTCTCTCTCTCTCTCTCTCTCTCTCTCTCTCTCTCTCCTCTCGGCCGTGATGTACTGCAACTGTGGTACGCTTAGCGCTGAAGCCCTACAGCTGTGCTATGCTAGCGCTGAAGCCCTACCGCTATCGTCGACTACCACTACTGCTATGCCGAATGCCTACTGAATACCTGGTGAGGCTGAGGCGGACCAGCTATAAGTGGTGCTTGTCCGGCCTCAGCCGTGCTTCAAATCGAATTGAAGACTGGCGCCAACACTGGCTGGGTCTGAACGGTCCTGGCGGCACGAAACTGGCTGGGCCTGAACGGCCTGGCGCGTAACCTCTAACCTGCGGGGCCCTAAACGGGGCCGAAACGACACGGGGCCTAGCTGGACCTAAGTACCCCCCTAACCCAACCCCTAGTCCTACCTGGACGTGCCACACAGGCCTCATCATTTACCCGAGCAAACGTTCGTTAACGGCTTAAGGGTACTACGATAACTTCTCTTGGATCTTGTAGGGATTCTTCAGTACGTTCGGCTCATGACTGAACTGGCCGGCCCCTAGTAGCTATTAGCTTCTCCACCAGATATCTACACAAGAGACTGGGCTGGATAGGCCTGTCACTGGAGGGTACTTGCATTCCTCATCATTTCCCAGCTGAAAGAGCAGCAGTAAGCCTCGAGGAAGACCAGTACCATCCACTGTGCGAGGGCGGGCACCAGCTCAGGCTGGATGCTGGATTCAGAAAGCAGGCCGGGCATCTCATTTTACCACTGGCTGCTGCCATTATGTTGCCTGATGCTTGCAGGAGCTGGCGGTAATAGTGGAGAGCAGGGGGAGGAGCCAGAAGGTTCCTTGTTATGGCAGATGATCATCCTGGCTATAGTGCTCAGAGTTTGGAGCAGCAAATCACCGAGGTTGTCAGGTGCCACAGTCCTCTTGGATGAGCTTTGCCCCTGCAAAATGGGCTTCAAGATGACAGTTCCGATAAGAAGAGAGCAGTGGGACCTCACAGAGAGTGTCACGAGAGAGAACCATGTAGCCGCTTCAGATGTTCATCTTCTCTCCTGGCACTTCAACATCTTTGGAGGCCATGGTGACCTCGGGCTGAGAGAACTTGGCCGTTGAGTGCTGGTGCTTGATGTTAGATGACACGGGTGAGTGAGAGGGAAGAGAGTCGAAGAAGATGGAAGAGGGATCCATGATTCTCCCGATCAGCAGGAAACCAAGAGCGCAGCTGCTAACAAGAGTGAATTGGGAGAGGTCCCTGCATTTCAATGGCGTAGTGTGATGGCAATCTCTGCTTAACATTTTTTTTACTGATTGAAGAATAATGACTGAGGCGGAGAGAAGAAGAGAGAAGAAGAGCATTGTTATGGATGATTTGATGTGAACTGAACCTTTCTCCGTCTCCTCGTCATCCTCTTTCCCTCAATTGCTGCTGCGCTACTCATGCATGAGTTGAATGTGCTTTCTTCACCACCTCTTCTCCCATCCTCCCTCCCTCAATTTAACCAGCACTACTACATCTATTAAAGTTCTTCCGGGCGGGTGTAACGCTACATTGTGACCTGACCCGACTGGATTCTTCCCATCTGTGAGATGAGCCATCCTCTAAGCAGCGAATTTTTCAGCCTCTGTCAATGGCTTGCCTGAAATCGCTACTGAAAAAGAGGAAACAAAACGTGGCGCGACTATCTCACCGCGAAAAAAAGAAAATGAAAGGCAAACTAACGCTTTCTGTCATGTTGGGCCTCAGTGCAGATCGAAACGAAAAAAGAAAATGAAAACGGTCTTCAGATACTGGGCCTCAACGCATCACTGATCAACACATTTGGTCAGTGGTGCATCGAGGCGCAGTATCCGAAGGCCGTGTTTGTTTTTGCTTTCTGTTTTTCTTTCGTTTCCCTCTTGCCTTTTGCCAGCTTTTGAGAATAAATCTTCCACTGGAACACGCAAGGATACACCACCGTAATTTTGCACTTTGGACTGTTGGTGAGCGGCCCGGCAAGGCCTAGCCCTATTTTTGGGAGGGGGACGTGGCTACGGCCTGGGGATATCATCACCAAACTGACTGGTCGCAGTGCCCCACTTGGGGATGTTTAGTTCCGGTTTCGAGTATTTATCAATGTGGCCACGCTGTGGCCGTGAGATTTTCAGATCCGATAGAAGGGACCCGTGGATACTCGAAACCAGAGCTGAAACCTCCCAAGTAGGGCACAGCCGTGGGTCCTCCGATGACATATGGCGACGGCTGTTTGAACGCACCTTCGAATGCATTGTTGGGCTGGGTTCAAACAGCCGTCATGGCTGCGGGTTTCTCTCTCTCTCTCTCTCTCTCTCTCTCTCTCTCTCTCTCTCTCTCTCTCTCTCTCTCTCTCTCTCTCTCTCTCT